CATGCATGCCCCACAAGAGACCCAAGTTGACTCGGTTAAACAAGTCTGGTTCTTTGCAACCGAGCCAAGTACGTGATTATAAGTTTATAACTATACCCTTACTACATTTATCAGTTGTCAAAAAAAAAATTATGGCTTTTTGTGTCTATTCTAACATGGAATTTAAGGTTTTAACAGGATTCCTGGTGTATGCCTTTCTTGTTTTGGTTTTTGTTGGCGTACTTATTTACCGTTATGTGCCGTTATACGGTGGGACCCATTTGGTCATATATGTCGGGATTTGCTCTCTCATGGGCTCTCTCACGGTTCGTGTTAGTTGTTACCTTGGTGGTTCTTCAGGTCCGGTTTGTTACGCAATACATGACATGACATGACAGAACAGGTTGTACTGTGTCAATATTGGACTTGCACCGGGACTAATGTCAATAGGACAAAAATTGTAATTTTTTGTCCCACCCAAAAAGATGGTACAAGGTGGAACAAGGTCTCGCTCTCGATCTCTCGTATGTGAAAAAGACGTAAATGCCCTCCTCATCCTCATCATCGAAGATAGCCCTACAAAGCTTGTGTAGTCCCGTCGAGTCCTGTCCCGTGAAAACGGGACAGGACTGGTGGGGACCGGACATTAGAAGCTTTCTAGGGCTATCTTCGATGATGAGGATGAGAAGGGCATTTACGTCTTTTTCACATACAAGCGATCGAGAGCGAGACCCTGTCCCACCTTGTTCCATCTTTTTGTGTCGGACAAAAAGTTACAATTTTTGTTCTATTGACATTGGTCCCGATGCAAGTCCAGTATTGACACACCAAACACAGTACAACCTACCTGTTCTGTCATGTCATGTACTGTGTAACAAAACGGGCCTTATGGATTCGTGTCCTTCACCCTTTTTTCAAATTTTTTTTTGTTTTTTGTGGGAATGTAGGTTATGTGTGTGAAAGCAGTGGGAATCGCTATGAAGCTATCATTTTCTGGAAGTAACCAATTTATATACTTCCAAACATGGATTTTCACCTTGCTACTATTCGTTTTCTGTCTCACACAACTCAACTATTTGAACAAGGTAAATCAAACAGAAGTTCATCAATGGAATCTTGTTTACAAAATACAATGTTTGCTTAATCAAAAATTATGTAATTTCAGGCACTAGATACCTTCAATACTGCTGTCATTTCGCCTGTATATTATGTGATGTTTACAAGCCTCACCATTTTAGCCAGTATGATCATGTTCAAGGTGATTTACATTTTACAGTAACTATTACACCTCGAATGACTTAAAAAGAAAATGTTATGAACTTTTTAATGTTAATTTGCTTCTTGTTATATTTACAGAATTGGAATCATCAAAATGCGACACAAATTGTGACAGAATTGTCTGGTTTTGTGACGATTTTTTCGGGGACTTTTCTTCTTCATAAAACAAAGGATATGGGAACTCCAGTGGTGGTGGAATCACCTAAGCTTTCACATTCTGTAACTAGAAGCACAAATGAAAGCCCCAGGCGGCCGGAGGTGTGAATTCTCACCGGTTGTTAGTGGTGGTGGTGGTGATGGTGGTGGTAGGCCGGAAAGTTAACCTCCGGTCGCCGGAATTCTGACATGTTAGATTGTTAGCGGTTGTGGGTGGTTTTGTGGTGGATTAGAGGCATATGGTGTCAAGATGCTGTGAGAAACTCAGAAACATGAGAAATCTGTTCAGGAATTTAGCGATATTTTCTTACATTTTTATTGGTTATTTTGATGTTTATATTCTGGCGAATTTGTTAGAAAGATTTTGTTTATCGTTAATTTGTAGGTCTAACTTTTCAAATTTTTGATATTTGATTTAACAGATCGATCGACAATGATGCAATTAAGATTGTTAGTTTTCAAATACTATACTAATAGTTTTCATCTATATTTGAAGTTAAGAAAGGTACGACATTAGAAATCAATTGTGAAAGCATGGTTTTTTAATAAAGAAAAGTTATATTTTCTGTATAAAATTCAAACGGATTTTGGATAAAAGATGACAAAGAAAATCCATGTTTTGAACTTTGGTGTTAATGATGTTTCAATAGAAGTTGTCTTGAATAGAGAGGGAAACAAGCACACTCATCAATAGAGGGGTAGACTTGGGGAAAACAGCTCTTTACATAGCGGTAGAATGTAATAATGATGGGAAAGGAATGAAGTATTTAGAGGGAATGATTAATTGTATGTGTTGTTGGTTTAAAGAACAGAAATATTAGTTCTGTGAATTAATTGTATGTGTTGTTGGTTTAAAGAACAGACATTAGGAATAAAGGAAACATGAACCTTGATGCTTGGGCTTAAGTGACATTGTGACAACATGAAGCCAAATTATGACATGCTTTCTCCTAGAAATTTTGGAAAGCCTCAAACGATAACTTTGTAAAAGATTGTAAATATATGTATTTGTTAAAAAAGAGTATTTTTGTCATTGTTAATTTTGTTCGTTCTATCCTTTGTATGCCGTTTTGTTTTTTACTTAATAATTATTTATCAACTTTATTGAGCTATTTATCAACCGAACAACACAAAAACAAAATAAAATAGTAAAATTGTCATATTTAGCATTTAATACATTCATTCAGAGGGGCATAATCAAACAATATGATTTTAATCAGAGACATATTTAGTCAAAGCTTCAGACCCATTCAACCCATTCAAGCCTCTACTCAGTCATATTTAATTCAGTGAACTATCAAACAACCCCTTAGTCGTTCTGAAAAAATTAACTATTTTACAGCAGTTATTCCAAATAAATAAAAATAATAATAAATATACAAGCCAATATTCAATGAAAACCACCAATAAAAACACCACTTTTCAATTTTAAATATATGGTTAAGGTCATATTTTATTTATTATTTTTTTTTTGGAAATGGAACTTCCCTAAAAGGGTTCCGGGGCCAATTTTCGAGTACAGACTAATCTCTGGAATCACTACGGGCGAACCTCTATAGCCACAATGGTTGAGTAGTGTCAGGATTTGAACATGGATCAATAGGTTATCCACTGTATCTTCCACATATCTTACTAAGTCACCACAACCAAAGTGGTTATGGTTAAGGTCATATTTAGTCACTTAACTTTTTGTTTTGTGCTTATTTTGTAACTTAACTTGTTTTAAGTTTTTAAAAATTCATTAAACGAGTTAATATTTGCTAAAATTGTCATATAAACGACAAAAACATGTTTTCATATTTTTTTTTTAAGCTAACTAAGGTTATTGAACTTCTTTTATTTAGCTATTTAAGGTTGTTGAACATTTTTAGCTTATAATTAGTCACTAAACTTTTGAAGCCATTCAATTCGTTTTTTATAATAATGGATTATATAGAGCTATGATACAATATGAAAAAATACGTAAAAACAAAGTTAATATATAAAGTTATAAAAGGTATATAAGGTTAGATATCAAAAACCCACCATACTACGTCGTTTTTGTATCATATATGTATTGTAATCATCCAAAGTTCTTAAAATTCAACTCCTAATTTGATTTACTTCTAAAAAATTTAGAAATTTCACCATTATCTTTCTCTTACATCACATCGTTTTGTCGAACACCTACCAGGCTATATATATGATAGTTTAAAATAAAAATTATGTTAGAGGAAGATAATGCTGAAATTTCTAAAATTTTTGGAAGTAAATCAAATTGGAAGTTGAATTATAAGAACTTTGGACGATTACAATGCATATACGATACAAAAATAACGTAGTACGGTGGGTTTGAGTACCATAACTTTTATATATATATATATATATATATATATATATATATAATATATATATTATATATATAATAAAGGAAGTTACAAAAATAAATTGTGAAAAATATATATTTATAAAAATAAAGTACAAAATAAAGTAAAAGAAACAAATTATGAATAAAAATGTAAAAATCTGCTCTAATAAATGAAAAATCTTTTTGTAATATATCATATTCTCATTGATTTGGTCACATGTCATTTTGTAGTTATTTTCAATTAATTTTTTTTCCACATGACATTTTGTGGTTTTTTTTTTCATTTTATTAAATTCAACATAATATTTAAATGTAATAATTATAATAAATGTAATAAGAAATGCATATCAATTTTATTAATCGACTTTCCTTCTAATTTCAAAATTTCAAAATTAAAACCTAATTACGTTTATTTATCTAAATTATTTGTTTAAATTAAAAAAAAACACATTAATTTTAGTAGTTCAATATTTTTTCTAATTTTTCTTATAAATTCAAACTTTTAAATGTTTAGAATTTCATATTTAATTTTTCTTTTAAATAAACTAATGTAATAGATGAGTTTTACAATTAGTGAAAAATATAAAAAGAAATTACGAAAAAAACATATAAAAATAAATGAGCATAAATGATAAATAAATACACAATTAAAAGTTAATTGGCCAAATATATTCTTAATCTTTCAATAATATATAAATCCAATAATTTTATGATATTTTACAAGATAATGTTAAAAAATTTGTAAGATTCTATCGTAAATCGTATCTTTAATTATAATTAAATAACTTAAATATATGTATCGATTATGTGTCTAAAATTAAAAATTCGATGTGTAATACATGTTTTTAAACTATTTCTAATTTCTAAATTTCTAAATGAAATAATAAAGGAAAACAAAAAAGAAAAATTATGTGTAGTTAAAGACAAGAGTCGAAGGAATTTCTCACTCGTTTCTTTCGTTCTTTCTCTCTGAGCTTCGAATCTTTCGATTATATTCTGTATAGAGGGAGCAAATCACAGAGTAAGAACACATCAGCTGACACTATAAATCCGAAATCTTTCAAACCCTAATCCTCCAATCGCAACTTATAACTCCCAATTTTACCATCAAAAGGTCAGTATTTCACTTTCAATTCTTCATATTTCTGTATACTTACATGTAAATATAGAGTAGGGTTTCTTCAAAATCAAGATTTCTCGTAAAATTCCGATACTTTTTGTTGTTGAATGAGTATAAACGATGCCTCCTCCAAGAAGAAAGAAATGGACAGAGGCAGAAGAACGAACCCTAATCGATAAGTACGGAGAAATGGTTTCCGATGGAAGCTTATCCAAAATGAAAACCCGAGAAAAGAAATACAAACCGATTGCTGTACACGTGAATTCCCTTCATCATCTTTCTGATCCGATTGCGTATCCATGGGAATGGAGTTGGAAAGACGTCTCAAATAAAGTCCAGAACATGAGACACCAGTATTCCCTCGTGAAGCAGAAGATTAAACGGCCGGATTCCGGCGATCTAGTGGTGAGCGGCGGCGAGGGTTTTGATTGGGTCGAAGGTTTGACTCATTGGTCAAATTTCCTGCGATACAAAGAGATTTTCGGCGACATTTCGCTTCCATTTGATGGAAACAACGGATTTGATGAGAGTAATCAGGAAATGGAGATTGTTGAGTTTGGGAACATTGGAATTGAGCCTAATGGGGTACTGGCTTTGGAATACTACGAAGAAGAAAATTACAACGATAACAACGACAATGGCAATGGCAATGGCAATGGGAATGGGAATCATGATTACGGAGGAATTGAGAGGAATGGGAATAAGAAGCGAAAAGTTAAAAATCTTGAGAAGAAGGCATGGGGGTTTGTAGCAAACCAATTGGCACAACTCCGGGAAATGGAAGCTCGATTTGAGCAACGTGAGGAGGAAAGAGAGCGAGAGCGGAATCGGAAAGAGTTATTCCGGCGGAAACAATACGAAGAAAGGAGGAAACAACGGAATCAAGAATGGGAAGCGATGGAGAAGGAGAGGGAAGAGAGGAGGAGACGGAGAGACGAGGAGGTGGCACGGGAAAGGGAATGGGAAGAGAGGGGAATCAGGAGAAGGTCGGAATGGAATCGGAGAATCGATGAGATGTTGAGTCAACATAGAGTGGAAATGGCACAAATTCATGGAAGGATTCTTGAGGAACAACAAAATGTTACAAGTCAATTACTTGGGATTGTTTCACAATGGAATGGTTCGGATAATACGAGTGCTAGTAATCATTATTTGTCACAAATGATGCAAAATTTGCAACATGTTGGAGGCATGGTTGATGGTGATGATGCTAGAGTTGAAGGACATAATCAAGATGATCAATTTATTGTTGATGGATGAAATTGAAAATAAAAGGAAATAGGAAAAATAATAAATTATGGAATAATTTCAAGTTTCAATAGTTTAGATATTGTTTGTTATATATATATTATTTTTCTTGTAATAGCAATGTTTCTTTTGAGATAACCAAAATTTCTTTATTCATATTATTATAACTCTTTGATGGTATTTGAGGTTTTTGTGCTTTATCTTAATAGCATATGTCTCATTTCTGTTGATTTTGTTGCTATTTTGACACGAAGAAAAGGTTAAATTATAGTGAAAATTACGAGTTTCATGATTTTGTTATTATTTTGAAATGACAAAAAGGTTAAATTATAGTGGAAATTACGAGGAGTTGAATGATTTTGTTACTATTTTGAAATGACAAAAAGGTTGATTATAGTGAAAATTATGTGAAGTTTCATGAGTTTGTTATTATTTTGAAATGACAAAAAGGTTAAATTATAGTGGAAATTACGAGAAATTGTAACTTAGGTGCTTTATGTCATCTATAATATCAAGGTATTTACAATTTTTTATCCTAATGACACACTTGCGTTAATGCAAGAAAAACTTAATATATTATCTAATTTTTGTTGAACTAATGATTCGCAACCAGATAATCTAAGAAAACCGTTTGCATAGCTATATTGAATTAAAAAGATTGCAGAAATTTTTTGATTTTTAGAAACTGTAATTGCTACCATTTTACCAGAAATTGTGACATGGTTAATTTCCGAAAGCTGGAGTTGCTTCTAAATGGGGATACTTTTGGAGAAGAAAACAGTGGTCATCTGAGTCGAATAAATAGAGCATAAAGAAGATCAAGTTTTGTTAACAGGGAAGTGATAGGGATGATTATAGGGATTTCAGGTTTGCTCATGTAATTCAGCTTCATTTTTAATTTAAAGTGAAATTGTCTAAATGAGTATCTATAATTACTTATTAGTTACACTTAGTGTTATTCAATAACTTTCGAGCATATTGGAAATTTATATATGTAATTAAGTGTATATACATAATAATAAATATTTAACACTTAAAACTTTGTCCCGTTCTAGTTAATTTAAACAATGCAATTGTCTTGCATTTTATGTCTAAATGAGTACCTACAATTAAGGTTGTCAAGATCGGAATCCTACGTAGGATCGTTTTTTGGTTTGCAAGATCGAGATCTTAAGATCCCACAAAATAATACATAATTTAATTTATAATTTTAAAACATGAAAAATATCTCAAACATTCAGTTTTCCGTCCAAAAGCTATAAAAATTTCAAAATATTAGACATAACTCACAACATAAAATGATAAACAGTAAACTGGAAATGGTAAAAGATATAAAGTGGTAAGTTAATTTCTTTTTTCTTTAAAAAAAAATCAAGGACAGGTAAGATCGGATCCCGATCCTACGAGCTTACGATCTTATCCCAAACACGATCTGTATATGACCCGACTCATTTTTCATACCCAGAATCGTATGATACGATCCTACGATCAAAATCGTAATTTTAACAACCTTGCCTACAATTACTTATTAGTTGCACTTAGTTTTATTCAATATTTTTTGGGCATATTGAAAATTTAGATATATAATTAAGACAAAACTTCAAAAATGGTTCCTGTGGTTTCCGAAAATCTGAAGTTTGGTCCCTAATTTACAAAAACCTCACGGATCGTCCCTGTGGTTTCAAAACTTTTAACATTTGGTCCTTCCGGCTCACTCCGTTAGCATTTCACTGTTAACTCATTTTTCAATATTATATTGCAGGGGTAATTTCGTCATTTCAGTTGTAACCTTCTCTCTTTAATATGAAATGATTACCTATTGTTTGCACGTCAACTCACTACCCATCCCTCTCCCAAGAAGATAACCAGTTACATTTGTAATCATCGGGTTCATTCCCATTGTAGAAGCAAGAACAGAAATTGGGATTTAGGGTTTAAGCTGAAGGAATTGCAATGGTGCTATCAATATGGTGTTTTCGAGAAAAATTTACAACCGTGCAGGACTTAGGAAAAAAGATACGGTACGATACTACAACAAAACTTGTTTTTTCTTGGTCGATTGTGTTCACGTAGTGAAATCATTGACTTTACTCTTTCTTTTTTTGTGTTTGCAGAAGGATATGACAACTATTTCACGTTGAAGATACACTACAGTGGTGTCTTCACCAAATCACCTGGAAGGAAATACGTTGATGGTGTTGTAGCATATGTAGATGATGTTGACACTGATTTATTTTCAGTTCATTAGCTTGATGACATGGTCCGAGAACTAGGGTACAAAACTGAGCAAACCCTTTACTACCATTTCTGTATCCCTGAATACCCTTTAGACTATGGCTTAATGCCTTTAAGTACTGACCAAGATGTACTTAAAATGGTATCATATGTCCCTAAACACAGACTTGTAAGGGTGCATATTGAAACTGGTCAGACAAGGGTAGCTAGTTATTACAAGTCTCCTTCTAAAGTTGTTATTGAAGAGTTGGAGCCTGATAGTGTGTCACCTGAAATGAATAAAAAGAAACCTTGTAGGAGAGAAGCAAGATCATGTAGTAGAAAGCTTGATGTAAACAAGTCTATGAACCCTGATTATGAGCAGTCACAAGTATTAGATGTTGATGAAGGGCATGATTACTCAAAGAGTATTCTGCCATTTATAAGGTCACAAGCTAGCAAACAAAGTCATGTCATGCAAGAGGAAGCGGTCAATCATGAAATTGAAACTCAAGAAGAAGTGATCACTAGTGCAGTTGAAACTGAAGAACCGGTGGGAACTTACATTGTACAGGAACCAAGCTACCAAGCTGATGATGAAGCTAATACTGCAACAGTTGATGACTTTGAACCATTTGTAGAGGATTATTCACTTTATGCTGATTATGATGCTGAGTTTAATGTTCAAACTTCATGTGAACAACAAGCAGAAGTGGATTATCTAGAAGGTATGGTGAGTGATGATAGTGGAGAGGCTTTCTATTCTGAGAGTGGCCATGGTTCTGAGGGTAGTGGAGATGATTCTGATGATAGTGAATAAAATGTTGATGAGTCTAACACACAATTTGATGTAGATGTAGACATGAGTGAATTCCATAATGTTGTTGATGTAGATGAACATGGAATCTTAAACAATCATTCAAAAGATGAAGGGAATGACATGGTTGATGATGAGTTGGAAGTTATTGCGACTCGTGATTATCAATTTGCAGGATTTCATGAAGATGATAGGAAGAGACTGCTAAAAGAGTTGAGTAAGTCAAGTACATGCTCACATGGAGAGGTTCATGTAAAACCATTTCAGATTGGCCAGGTCTTCAAAACCAAGCGTGATGTTAAAAACTACATGAACTCACATGCTGTAGCAACAAGGAGGTCTTTATACCTAGCAAAAAATGACAAAATCCGGTAGTTACACAATTCTGCACTCACAATGGCAACCCTCTCTTCCAATCGGTTCATTGATCTTATCAAAACTGGAATCACCACCAATGCCCTAGCACACATAGGAGGATCAGACCATCGAAGGAACCCACAACTTGTACAGTTCCAAAATTGTCTTCCAGGGTTACGATCCATCCATGAAGTGATCTTCATTGCTTCATTCCCACATCTGCAAGTCACCATCTTTGAATCAGAAGCGATTGGGTGTCGTAAAGGGTGCAACGGTCGAGCAACAGTGGAAGGGAGAAGAGAGATGACGATCGCAGATAAAGGTAAAGGTTTGCCCAAAAATCAGACATGCAATTTCTTTTAAAGAGAGAAGGTTAAAACTGAAATGACGAAATTACCCCTGCAATATAATATTGAAAAATGAGTTAACGGTGAAATGCTAACGGAGTGAGCCGGAAGGACCAAATGTTAAAAGTTTTGAAACCACAGGGACGATCCGTGAGGTTTTTGTAAATTAGGGACCAAACTTCAGATTTTCGGAAACCACAGGGACCATTTTTGAAGTTTTGTCTATAATTAATTATATATACATAATAACAAACATTTAACACTTAATATTTTGTCCGGTCAAGTTAATTTGAACTTAAAGTGCAATTATCTTGCATTTTACGTCTAAGTGAGTACATATAATTGATGGGTTTTGAGAATTACATCAATCCTATTGTAACATCCCAATTTTCAAGACCAAAAATTTTCGTTTTTAATATAATAATTATAAAACCATTTACTGAAAAACAACATCATCATCATGTCAAGTCATCACATGTCCCTAAAATCATAACAGAAAGTAGTAATAATGTCAGAGTACAAATCCCATGGATCTCAAAATGCGGAAATCATGTGTGTTCGATGCGTTGCTACCGTGTCGTCTCCTTCCCCTTCGACGAAGAGGTACCTGAAACCAAAACTGAAAATCGTAAGCACAAAGCTTCGTGAGTTCCCCCATCATACCACATACCATACAACATACATACTGGCAGACAATTTTGGGGTGCCCGACCTACCCATGTCAAGCTGTTATGGGACGCTTGACTTACCCTGGTCAAGCCATTCTGGGGTGCTTGACTTACCCTGGTCAAGCCATTCTGAGGTGCTTGACTTACCCGTCGGTTTATCACAACCGACTACTGGGGACTATTTCACCCATACTACTACTAACACATATAACAGAGCATCATGGAACATAAAGCATATCAGATAGTAGGAAACCTAGATAATTATCACAAAGACAATAATCTAGCAAACAACTCCTACTAGCGGGCCGACATTGTGGCCGTAGACCCACTTCTACTGGAAGGTAACTCACCTCAATGTCGTGTAGTGTCTGCACTATCCTCAGTATGGAAATCAACTCTTCTCAACTCCTCAATCCCTACAACAACCTTCCTAAGTTACCCTTTCATACTCATAACCCTTACAAGGGTCAATTCCAGTCTAAGTCAAAGTCAAGATCAAAACCCTGGTCAAATTCAACTTTGGTCAAAGTCAACATCTGGTTGACTAGACTCGCCGATTTGGTCCACCAACTCGTCGATTCCCCACGTCCATGAAGTGCTACAACCTCG